TTTTCTATTCTTGCCTCGGGCGCAAAAGGAGCTAGCTACGGCTCTGGTCCCCGGTTCAAATCCTGGCCAGTTCACTATCTGCAAAGGAGTTTGCATGTTCTCCCTGTGCTTGTGTGGGGTTCCTCCGGTTTCCTCCCACACTCCAAAGACATGCTGAAAGGTTAATTGGCTCTTGGTCTAAATTGGCCTTGTGTGTATGTGGCATAGGGACCTTCGATTGTAAGCTCCTTGAGGGCAGGGACTGATGTGACTGTGCAACTGTGTAAAGCGCTGCGTAAATACCTGTAATAAATACATAAAATAAACAATGTCCAACAAGCTCCTATAGGTGGGATGGTTTGGTGTTTACAAACTTTTGACCATATCATGAGGGGAATTTATCAAAACTGGAGCAGATGTGCATGGCAACCAATCAGCTTCTCTCTTTCATTTTCAAATCTCAAAGGGTTATTAAACCCTCCGGTTTATTTGCATAGCAAGCAGTAGATATAGGCAAAAACATTAAAAACATTTTTTACAAAAAACCCCGCTTTAAAAGAGGGTTAAACTTACCTGTGCCTTCGCCGCACGGTCCCGTCCGAGAATCTGAAAAATCTCGGGCGACCGCAAAGGATCTTGGGGCGGGCGCATGCGCAGTTCAGATATTCGGCCGGGAGACGAGGAGAGACACAAGGTAAGTCTATGGGCGGCGTGCACCCGCATGCAGACACCGGGATGCACATATAACCGTACAGTTATCTGTGCATCCCTACTTTTAACCTATGTAATAGAAGAATTATCCAAAACAAATGGCTGAAAGTACCTTTTTGTATCAATTATTTATGAGCAGTCATGTAACTGCACAGTGGCGTAGTGGTTAGCGCTTCTGCCTTCCAGCACTCGAGGTCCCCAGTTTGTAATCCGGCCAGGTCACTATCTGCAAGGAGTTTGCATGTTCTCCCTGTGCTTGTGTGGGGTTCCTCCGGGTACTTCTCTCTCCACCCACCCTCCAAATACACGGTGGAAGGTTAACTGGCTCCTGTCTAAATCGGCCATGTATGTATGCATATGAGATAGGGACCTTAGATTGTAAGCTCCTCGAGGGCAGAGACTGATGTGACTGTGCAATGTGTAAAGCGCTGCGTAAAATGTCGGCGCTCTATAAATATCTGTAATAAATAAGTAAATGATCTGAGGGTGGGGGCCCAGTAGTGATCTGTTTTTTGCAGGACTGCCGGGAGAACAAATGAAAGGAAGGAGCCACTGTCATTCAGTTGCTTTGCTCTTCCCAGTGAGGCAGATCAGCAGCCGGCACAGTAAGTTATAGACGTGGCTTTCCTTCCCCCACAGACCTGGAGCAAGCGCACTGTGGTGGCCATACTGCAAAGGTTAGATGAGCCTGCGAACTTTAGTGGCAGGTTCCTTGTAAACCCCGTAGCTACCGCTGATGCATGGCGTATGTTTCCTGATGTATATCAGAAAATATATATTTCTGGGGGGTAATAAATAATCTTCAGGCCTAAAGTGTGCAAAAAGACGCAGAAATGGCTCTTGTAGTGAAAAAGTTAAATATTAGGTACTGGTATGGTACTTTTTACTGATCAAAATTTTCGTGTTCGATTAATCGAATTTATTTTTAATCGATTAATTTCAATTAATTTTGGGAGGAGTCCGGTGACGTCAATGTCCGTGACGTCACCGGATCTCCGGCGGGACTCCCGGTAGCTGGCGGAGGGATGAGTATTTTCATTAGCGATCAAAATAATTTTAATCGATCAAAAAGTTTAATGATTAATCGACAAATGAATCGTTAATTTCCGCAGCCCTATTAAATATGTTTCAAAGTTTTTTTTCTTTTTCTTCTTCTAACAGTTGGCTGAGACGCCGTTAAAAACGTACCTGGAACTGATGACAAAGCATTTTCTTGAAAAGTTTGGAAAAAAGAAAAAGTTGAAAATGGCGGGAGACCAGGATGCAGACAGTTCCAAGTTATTTACTAAAGGACACCTGAGAAAAGCAGCCGAGAGCCCAAATCTGGCCGTCTATGACATCTCGGATGAGGAAAGCGGGGGAAGCTGTGCTGTAAATGAGACGAGTCGCATTATAACCCGCAGGTAAGTGTTTAAGACCGTCTTTGCGTCTAATGCTCTTTTTACCGTACACTACTACAACACACAAACCATGATGTGCTGCGATGCAATGGGATTGTTCTGTTGGACTCTTGTATAGAGAGTAGAGCTGGCCATACACTGTAATATTTTCTTCTTTCACCCGGCAGACTGAACAAACAAAATATTACAGATTCTTTTATCATCTCTTATGACTCAGTTTACTGTTTGCATTGTATTTGGCTGCTGGTGTTCTATCGAAACCTCCAACTCGTCGAAATCTCCAACTACCTCAGTGCCGGGTATTTGCAAGGTGGAGATTTCGACCAGACAGCGTTAGACTGCAAGCCACAAAGACTGACGGAGCTCTGTGCAGCTGCATTTTAACAATATTCAGCAGGTGGCAAACTCGAGGAGTATTCTGAAACCGCTAATCACGCATGCGCACCGCCACTGTACAGAGCTCCAGTCTTTCTGAGCACTGGAAGTGAGGTAGTTGGAGAGTTCGATGAGTTGGAGCTTTCGATAGAACACGGGCTCAAAGATTTTCCAACTGGCTCCTTCGATCAGCCGATCGGGGATGCTGGCCGAAAGGGTGCTGACAACGGCACCCACTGTGCAAATTTTGACCGGTTCATCAAGAACCAGCTAAGATTTGTACAGTGTACGGCCGGTTTAAAGTAGTATTACATTCTCAAACTTTTTTTCAGTAATTAATTCACATCAGACAGATATGGATCGCTCAGCAACGTATTGCTTTACATTTTTGCCCAAACACTTACAATCATCATGTTTCTGAACAGCTGCTTCCAAGTCTCTTAGCTCAGCTTCCCTGAACTTCCTGTTCAGTACAAGATCACAAAGGAATAGAGCAGACTCTGGCAACTGTTCATCTACTAACTTGGAGGAGAGGGGGGCGGGGAGTAGATTGATTTGCTGTGTTTGTGGAGACACACACGGCTTACTAGCACACACACGGGTGACTGCATAGCACGCTGATTGAGAAAGGATTCACTCTTAAACAGGAAGTCAGGACCAGTACTCAGGGGACCAGATGATTCTGCAGGAATCCATTGCCAGTGATTTCATCAGCATTTGAAATAGATTAAAATCCTTTTGACTTTAATAACCCTTTAAGAGTCCCTTTATAATGCCAGTGGCAAGTAACGGGATTTTAAAATCTAAGCTCAGATGCCTAGTGCTGGAGGGCCTAAGTGTATGAAGTAGTGGGTGCTGCAAATGTCCAGCTTCTACCCAAACAGAAAGGTAAGTTTGGGGGAAAATCGACAACAACATGAGAAGGACCGTCCCTATCTTATTCATCACCTGAGGTGGATAGGAGAAGGGGGAATGGTGGGTTAAGCTGAGGTGTCAGCCGGGCGGGAGGCAGCGGCAGGCTGGGAGAAAAGTAAGTTGGGCTCCATTCAGGTTATCTCTGTGAAGGTTCTCATTCATCCAGGTTATAGTTCATCTGTAAAAAAGATAAATCAAGGCAACTGGACTTGCTGCATTTTTCTTGAAGATGTTTTGCTGGTCATGTGATTTTGCTTGATATGACTGTCATTCTGAATTGAAAAAGCTATTCAGATGACCAACAAAATGTCTTCAAGAAAAATACAGCAAGTCCAGTTCCTTGTTCTTTTTTTTACAGATGTACCATTTGCTTTAGTCTTTTACCTTTTACTGCTGGACCCAATTCTAGGAGAGAGAGTTTAGGGGTGCAGGATACACCAAAATAAAAGAAAAAAAGGCCAGGTACTCTGATGTAGCAGTAGGCCCTTTAGTAGCAGCCTCTTAGTAATAGTTGGCCCTGAGTGAGCAGCCGACAGATCTATGACCCAGTCTATTGGGAGTAGCAGTGATCTCTTTCTAATAAATCTGGCTCTTGACCCTTTGATAGTAGTCTAAGATTCCTGATCTGTGGGCAATAAACCTTTCTTACAATGTCCAGCAGCAGTTTCTTCCCAGCGTCTCTGCAACACTCCTTAGCTAAGATTTCTCAGAGATGCTCCTTTTAGCAAAACATCCTTCAGATATATTCTGCAGCGCGCAGCTAAAGTCCTAGGCCTCAAGCACACAACCCAAACTGAGTCATGGCCCAAGTTGAGATCCCTATATGCAGACTAGGGATGCACCAATACCGGTTTCTCGGGTATCGAGTAGCGATATTTTTTCTTCTGTACTCGCCGATACCGAATACCGATACCAGAAGTCCCATTAAGAAAGCCAGGCGGCATGTAATGACTCGCCACCCGGCTTCCCGATTAGCAGGGAAGCCGTCTCCATGCTCCCTCGTCGACGAGGAAGCATGGAGCTGGCTTTCTGGTCAATCAGGAAGCTGGGCACCATGTAATGACTCATTGCCCGGCTTCCTGATTGGTCAAGAAGATGGCCAGTCAGGAAGCTGGGCAACGAGCCATTTCACGGCGCCCGGTTTCCTCATTTGCTGGGAAGCCGGCTCCATGCTCCCTCGTCACCAGGTGAGGGAGCATGAAGCCGGCTTCCCGCCCAATCAGGAAGCTAGGTGGCAAGTCATTATTATTACATAGCGCCAACAGTTTGCGCATTACAATCACAATACATTTCAAGACAAGATGGTAAGGAGGGCCCGGCCCCTGAGGGCTTACAATCTAAAAGAGGAGGGGGAAATGATACATGAGGAGGTAGTTGTGTGGTGATTAATTATTTGAGAATGTGATGGTTCAGTGGTTAGGTCGAAGGGGTAGGTCGAGGTCGAGTCATTACACGATGCCCAGCTTCCTGATTGGCCGGGGAGCCGGCTCAATGCTCCCTCGTCACCCGGCCAATCAGGCCGGGAATACTCGCCCAAATACTGGGCATTGGCACCAATACCAATACTAGTATTGGTATTGGTGCATCCCTAATGCAGACATCCTTCCCAGGCAAAACCCAGGAGGTGAAGAAAGAAAATCACATGCCCCAATCACGTAACATCTCCTAGCTGTCTTGCAGTAGTGGTCATTTAACTGGTCTTTATTTCCTGAACACTTTATGCTTTTCTTGTCACACAGGGTTGAGGACAGCACAACATTATCACAGAAACCTGTATATCTGAGAGCATCAGGAGATGGAAGTAAGAAAACAGATAGTGGCTTGAAAAGTAGCAGCTTCTCATCTGACGATGATGTGAAGAATACAAAGGAAAAGTGGGAGAGTGCAAAGACTTCAGACTCTTCGAACGAACCAAAAAGTGCTGCATGTGAGATGGGGAGACCCAAATCAAGCAGGATTGTTAGGGGAATGATGTCCGGTCTCATCTCCAGCTCACAGGAGGTATGTGATCATTCCATATAAGTCATTCATTAGTAAATCTGAGTACCCAGGTGCGAGAGCATCGCACGGTGTCAGAGGATCGTATTCTGAGAACCAAACTGTCAGGACATCATCATTCTTAAGTTGGCCACAGACACAAGTTGAATTTTTTTGTTTAGCCTGCGGTCCTGAATTTTTTTTTAAACCTTCTCCTCCATCCATGCAAACAGCTAAGTTGTCTGTAAGAGTGATTTTCTCCAGGTCTAGGATGCCCAGGCGGCCCAGGGGTTGGGGACCCCTGTATAGGGTGACTCTTTCAGGTAAGCAGTGAAGATGCTGAGATTGGCAGGCAGAGCACTGAGTCCCCAATCCCAGCAGTCTCCTCTCATCATCAGTCCATCCTGGACACACACACACTGACTCGGGCAGCTCCAGTGCTGCTGCTGTTTCCCCGGCGTGGCCTCACTAACCAGTTGCAGCGTGCACAGAAGTTAGCAGATAAGCAGGGAGGTCCTGGAGGTGTCCATGGTGTCTGTCCCACGGGAGGCTGTGTCTAGCAGCACTGGGCAATAATCATGGCCCCTGGATAGGGGGTGAGGGGGGTGTACACGGCATGGAGGTGACCGTACACAAGGAACAGCATCCTCTGCTTTCACTTGCACGGCCGCAAGAAACTAAGTGAAAGTTCCTCAGGGGGAGCGGGACTGCCGAAGAGTCTGCCAGTGGCCCAGTTCCTAACAGGCCAGGGGGTTGGGGACTCCTGCTCTATAGTAAAGTATGTCACCAGCACACCAAGCAGTGATCACTTCATTGATGCACACACATCTTGTCACATTGCAACGTTTTGGGGCCAATCGTGGTCCCTTCATCAGGCAGTCATAGGTCATGCCTGATGAAGGGACCCTGAGTGGCCCTGAAACATTGCAATGTGACAAGATATGTGCATCAATGAAGTGATCACTGCTTGGACATTGAACCATGGTGTGCTGGTGACATACTTTACTATTTAGATCTGAAGTGGCGCCATACGCAGTCACTACAGCACCCACCACTAGGGACATACCAGTAAGGAGTGCGGTAGGACTCTTCGGCATCCTGCTCTATAGTATTCCCCTTTGCTCATCCACCAGCAGATACATAATCATTTATGTAGGAAGATAAGGGGCGGGGTGGAGGAGCTGGCCCAACACAGAGAGTAAATGGACATTCCCAGAAGAGGAGAGGGCTATAACCTACAACAAGGGAGGGGGATATGCTAGGAAATGTACTCTTCCTGGAGTAATTTAAAGTCACATTACAAGTGAATAGGAAATCATTAATTCAAAAGAAAAATACACTGCATGTAACATTTAAAGTACTCGATGTTCCTGTTTTACCTGCATTTTTTTCAGTTGATGACAGGGTCTCTTGAAAGCCAATTATGACAACATGTCGCATGACGCAAAATCTGTTTCAATATAATTCCGCTCATCCATATCGATGGAGTAGAAGCCGGCGTCATTCCTTAGATCATGTAGATATTGAGAATTCAGGACGTTCTTTTTCTTTTAGGACTCGCTGAAAAAACGATCGCAGAGACGATCATCTGCAACTCCTCTGTCGGCACAAGCCAAGAGCGAACCCCAGATGAATGGGATGATCGGGAAGACGGAGGAGGCTCTGAGCGACGGCGCTTCAAATCCAGCGCTGCAACTGGGGAACGAATTCTCTGCTAAACTGCTGGTCTCTGCTCCGTCCAGAAACCCGGCTCTGAACGCCACTGCTAAACAGGACAAGCAGCCCAGAAGTGGGCCGGAGACTGCGGACAGCACCAGAGATGCTTATAGTAACTTTAAACTAAAGCTTGCTTTGGAAGCAGAGCAAGAAAAGCAGCAAAAGTCACTGAGGAAGAGTGAATCCTCCTCAAAACGGTGAGTTAGTATAATAGTATGCTTTGCAGGATATAGCAGCAGGTGTCAGCGCAGTGGCGTAACAATAGCCATAGCGACCCAGGCGGCTGCTATGGAGCCCGGGCACAGGGGGGCCCGGCCAGGACACCCCCCTGATGCCGTGCGGGTCACCTGGGTCGCTATGGGTTAGAACGCGCCGCTGTTCAGATCACCGTGATCTGTGCAGCGCTGCGTTCTTCTCCATAGCCGCTGCTGAGTCAATGAGAGTCAGCAGCGGCGGTGGAGGAGGCTGGACGTGGCAGGGAGGAGGAGACGGGGCCCGGGAGGTCAGCATCAGCGGGGCCAGTGACGGAGAACGGAGCGGGCCTGGCGACGGAGGAGGGAAGACGGAGGAAGAAGAGGCGGACAGGTAAGGAGTGTGACCAGCCCACCTGAGGGTGACCCTGCAGAGCCCACCATAGGGAGTCTATGGTGGGCTCTGCAGGGTCACCCTCAGGTGAGCTATGTGGGCTCTTCAAGGGGTGTAACTAGAAATCGCAGAGCCCCATACAAAATTTTGCTATGGGGCCCTGTGATTCCTAGTTACGCCCCTGTGTCAGCGGTTGGCTTCCAACAAAATATCAGTAAAGGATGGACACCGGCACTCCGAAGCAACTTCGGTACGTGTTTATTAACATACTAGTTTCAAGTAGAACATCATTATGAGGTTCCACAGGCTGAACCACAAATTCCCCCTCTCTATTCAGTCTCAGGCCGGTCTATTCAGACATGATGCCGCGACCCACTGCAGAGGGTGTCGCGACCCACGTTTGGGTCGCGACCCACGAGTTGAGAACCACTGCTCTATACAACGTTTCGGGGCTTTTTAGCACCCAAGTTTCACATGCTAAACCCCAATTGAAGTCTCACACCTTTTTATCTCCGCGTTTTAAAATTTGAGACTGGCTTGTTTATCAGAATGTGTTAAAATAACTTTCTGTAGATAAAATGCAGCATCCTGCTCCCTCTTCAATGCCCTGTGTTGGCAGAGCTGAGTAATAGCCACACCCCTCATCACCAGTCTGCCCATACAGACTTACATTCTAAAAAACAATGGGGACGGGGTTTGCCTGGCCAATGTTGTCACTGAGTGCTCAAAATGGAGCTTCCTGTGCTCCCCCTGCAATGCCCTGTGTTGGCAGAGCTGAGTAAAAGCCACACCCCTCATCATCAGTGTTCTGATACAGACCTGTATTGTAGAAAAGGGGAGGGAGCTTGTCTCACTAGTTCTTTTACTGAGGGATGATTACTGAGTGCACAGGGTGTAACCAGTGTCCATAGGACTGCACATTTGCTCTAATAAGAAAGTGGAGGTGAGGCTTTGAAAAAAATATTAATTTATGTTTTGATATTTAGTTAGACAGACCCTGTGCTATTTCCACTTCTTCCCCAATGGCATCCCTGACCTAGAGATTACTTCTCCTCCTTAAAAAAAAAAAGGAAGCACAAATAGATTGTATTTAGGCAATCTTTTCTTTTTCTGAGTTTAGCTTTAAAGGAGAACTATGATGTGAGTGGAAATCACTCATCCTCATAGTTCGAGCCGACGTGTGACAAAGAAGCTGTCACGCGTCGGCTCAGTTGATCGGGGAGTGAGCGAACACATACTGTCGCTCGCTCACTTTTCGATTATCTCCCTGCAAAGAGCGGTGGCTGTTACTCACGGCCCCCTGCAGGGATTCCCCCCTCCGATTCTCCAGCGCTGACTGGCGGAACAGACGGGGGCGGGCACAGCTGGCTCTGCCTCTAGATTGGCAGAGCCAGCTGTCAATCACACAGCTGGGTAGATCTCAAAAGTAATGTAGGGATCCGTTCCGGCTGCGGTGTCTCGGTATACCGCGAGCTGTAGCTCGTGATATACTGGGCTTTGGGTCACGGGAGGACGCTAGTTTATGTCGTCCTGTAACCCTTAGGAGAACTATGGGGAAAAACACTCACCCCATAGTTCTCCTTTTAAATGCTTTGTTTCTATGTACCGTTTGCCATTCTATAGGTACACGGGGGCAGCCATATTGGTTCATTAGGTTCACAGGCTTTGCTTTGTTGGCCTACGCAGTGGTTATGCCTTACAGATTATCTTTTGTCACTACCAATCTACCATAGTGATCTGATCTGTGCTTGTGTTCTGTGATCATTTGCCAGAGGAATATTCTAGGTGACATCTGTCCTTATTGCTTTTCTTTCAGGAAGATGTCGGCATCAAGAGCGAATGACAAAGGGAGGCACTTGGTCGATATGAAGCTAGGTAAACCGTTTCAGTCTCCTGTACACTGAAGCGTCACCCTTGCCGGATAGTTATTACAGTTATATCCCATTGAAGCTTTAGTTTAGTTGTGTGTGCCTGTTAAAGTATGTACCCAGCCAAAACTGTTGTTATAGTTGTGGATAGAGAGAAGAAGATCCCCTATCCAAAACTAGGAAAAGAACGTTTAAAGATGTTTTTTCTTATTTGCTTTTTTGTCTCTTTTTAGATGATGTTGAAGAGGATTTATGGGCTGACACAATAGGGATTCCAGAGATCATGGCACGGAATAAAGTTCAGGCGGAAGGAAGACCTATTGATTTACAGCAAGCTATGGTGAGCTTATGTCTAGACAAGCACTCGCACAGTGAGGCCTACACAGGTCCGTCATTCTGATATCCCATCATGCATTGCTTCCATCAAGCAATGACAATCTTACATTGTTCAGATGTTGATTTGTACTTCAGAAGGAAGAGAGGAAGACACTGTGAGTAGGTCGCAGATCAATCCCCTCCGCTGGGAGTGACCGTTTAGCCTATAAAAATTGGAATGGAGAGTGTCAGTATCCTTTGTGAGTACACTATACACTGAGTTGCCAGATTGCGGGAGAGGTCAGAATGAAGCAGATGACAGAGGAGGTCGCGTCCATCTTGCTTGATTGAAGACGCGATGGAGGTCCTGTCTAAATGTTCAAGAGCAGCTGTTGTTAAAGTGTTTTAAAGACCGGACTGTGAGCCGAAAATCTGGGTCTGAACGTGCGAATTGTGGCCGTCAGCGACTAGTCAATGTTAGGGCAGAACGGGGGAGGGGCAAGACTGGTACAAGACAACAGAAGGGCGACAGTGCCGTGTCAGATTCCTCGCATCACCTTTCATCATCTCGTGGAGTCACGAGGCGGCCCAACGAAGTACTGATGGGGTGGTCATAATAATCTGGGCAATCAGTGTATGTAGGCATTGAAGCACCACACCAAATACAACTTTATTCCATTAGGGTGAGGATGACATTTTATTTGGAGTGATGTTTCAATCCCTACTATTTATCTTTCTGCTTTGTAGGAGCTTAAAAATCTGCTGTTTGGATCTCCTCTGCGCTGCTTCAGTGAAGAATGGAAAATTCAGAGCTTCACCTTCTGTAATATTGAGCATTTGAAGTACGGCTTCGTGCAGAGAAAGGTACGTTTCATAGCGATTGCTCCATTTTTATCTTCAGCTCTTATTATAACTACCAGGCAAGCTGCTAAGGACACAACTGAAATGCATAATAGCAATGATTCACAAAAGCCTAAAGTTGGGGTAGGTACCCTAGGCACTCTAGCTGACGGTTGGCAAGACTCTGACAGCAACAGGCATGACTCCCAGATGCCAGGATGTAATGGGATTTTTGTAGTTTTACCACAGCTGGAGTGCTGAGGTTAGCTACCCCTGGCTTAAAGTATCAGTACTTTTATGATGGTGCTTTACTTATTTTAAAGTTTTTACTTGTCCACTAACGTTTTTATCGTACAAATCTTCTGAAATGATTACACTTGTGTTATATAATCGATAATTGAGGCTTTTTGGTTGCTAGAATTCAGGTGGCTCCTTGTCGCCTAGCATCTTTGGTTGCTAGGATGCAGGCATCTCCTTGCTGCCTAGAATTTTTGGTTGCTAGGATGCAGGCAGCTCTTGGCCGTATAGCGTCTTTGGGTGCTAGGATGCAGGCGGCTCCTTGCCGTATACCGCCTTTGGTTTCTAGGATGCAGGTGGCTATTTGCCATATGGCGTCTTTGGTTGCTAGTATTCAGTTGGCTCCTTGTCACCTAGCATCTTTGGTTGCTAGGATGCAGGTGGCTCTTGGCCGTATAGCGTCTTTGGTTGCTAGGATTCACTTGGCTCCTTTCCACCTAGCGTCTTTGGTTGCTAGGATTCACTTGGCTCCTTGATACCTAGCGTCTTTGGTTGCTAGGATTCACTTGGCTCCTTGATACCTAGCGTCTTTGGTTGCTAGGGTACAGGTTGCTTCTTGCCCCGTAGCATCTTTGGTTGCTAGGATGCAAGCGGTTTGGTTGCTAGGATTCACTTGGCTCCTTTCCACCTAGCGTCTTTGGTTGCTAGGATTCACTTGGCTCCTTGATACCTAGCGTCTTTGGTTGCTAGGATTCACTTGGCTCCTTGATACCTAGCGTCTTTGGTTGCTAGGATTCACTTGGCTCCTTTCCACCTAGCGTCTTTGGTTGCTAGGGTACAGGTTGCTTCTTGCCCCGTAGCATCTTTGGTTGCTAGGATGCAAGCGGTTTGGGCCATCTGCATCATTGCAACAAAGGCCACTAGGCGGCTTAAACCACCTGCATCCTAGCAACAATGAAAGGCGACTCCAATGGAGTGCATTTGCCTGGTATGCATGTAAACATTGGCACGTGTTAGCACAATGATAGGACAGAAAAAAATGGAGAACGTTTTTGGACAAGTCAAGCTATTGGCTTGCAATTAATATTTTCTGCTTCCTGGCTGGAGTTCAGCTTTGACAGACTTCCTGGGATAAGTGGCATCATCTATAATTCATCCATCATTCTACCTGGGACAGTGCTGGCTTCTCCTCTACAATGTTTCAAGGAAGGGATTATCAGCCTGACCATACTGAGCTCATATCATACTTAGCTGTGCACTACATGCCTGTCATGTATGGAATTGGAAGATGTCATTAGTACGTGGTTACATTCTTTGGACGAACCGTGGTCACTCAACAAATCATTTGAGTAGAAGAGATATTCATGCTGCGGATGTGTGGGCACAGACTGGCCTCAGCACCGCACAGTTCCTTCACACACTGTGTCATTAGTTTGCTGTGCATTTTGTGTAACTAAAGTGCTTTGTCTGTTTCAGGGCGGCCCCTGCGGAGTTCTGGCTGCGGTCCAGGCTTGTTTGTTAAAGAACCTTGTGTTTGGGAAAGATTCCGATATCAGGTAACTGACAGATGGGGGAGGTCAAAGTCTCATGTACATTTTGGAAGGTGCATGATAAATAAAGCTGAATTTTGGGCACAAAAACTTATATAATTATATTCCTCAATAGCCACAAAGAACATAAACCCACTTTGTGTGCATCAGATGCCTTTGCAAACCCAGATTTTACCTTAGCATGTAGTTGCTGTGACATTGTCACAGCGCTGTACGTAACCGTGCAGAGAGCAGAGCTGTGGGAGGGACTCAGCAGGCCCCACCCATTACAGGCAACGTACAGGAGGGGGAGGAGACAAGTCCAGTCAGTTTGTTTTGATGTCATTGTGTTTCTGTTCCTAGGTGGGCACTTAATCCTTCAGACCAACTCCGAACAATCTGCCTGTCCAGAGCCATCGCGGATATCTTATGGCGTGCGGGAGACTGTAAGCAAGCAGTTGTCACCTTGTAAGTAGCTCGGAAAGTACCTGGAAATTTAAAGCTGAACTTTCCATTCTCTGGTCCCGTGAAACGAAATGTAAGTGCTTATTCCTTTTCCTCAGCTATCCTCCGGTTTTTCGCCCAGTGCACCCATTGTTACACTATTCTCCTGTCATTTTCCCTGGGTCTCCCGACCCGGTCAGTTAGCCCACCTAGCGTTGCGCCCTTTTTGAATTTTTTTGTTTCAAGTTCACAATGTGCATTAGAAGCTGCAGCAAGTCAGATAGAGCCCGCCTCCTTTCCTGCTATTACAGAAAAATACCTATTGATCTGCCAGAAACGCACTCTGGAGGCTCATAAATCCTGTTGAAGGCTGACGGCAGTGGTGGACTGAGTGGTGCCAGCCCTGCCCCAGTGTCTTTTGCTAAACCACTCAACCTCCTACACGCTGAGATCTCTGCAGAATTAAAGGCTAATTGCACATCTATGTATCTGTCTAACTATCTGGTCAGTTTAATTAGAATAATCTTCTTTATTGTACTTTTAAATGATTGTAGTTTCCCTTTTAAACCTTTGCACAGCACCTTTTAGATTGGAGTTGTTGTATAATGCTCTGAGTTCCTCATACTGAACCCTGCTTGTCATTAAAGGTCATCCGGAAGGCAGCAGTTCACTCCAGCTGGGAAATATAAAGCCGATGGAATCCTAGAAAGTGTAAGATGATTGCTGGGACTGGTCTTTCTGTGTGTATGTGTGTGTATGCGATGAAATGATAGAGACAAGCTGCATACAACATTACAATACATCTCATATGTCACAAAAAGAGAAAAGATGGGGTTTTAAAGGTGCCAATTGACAACTCCAAAGACAATGAAAAAGGTAAAAAAAAGTTTTTATTTAAATAATGATTACAAATTTGTGTTCAATTCACTTAAAATTCATTTATGAAAACAGCTAATCGGATATCTCCTAAAAGACTCACTCCACTTGTTGAATACTCAAAGTACATGATGAAATATATATAATTATACATTGGAATAACATGATTCAGGAAGTAAACATGATTGGTTTATAGATTGTTCGAAATGGAGGCGTCATATGGATAACTATGGGGTTAAGGCTTTTCCCCATAGTTCTCCTTAGGGTAACGGGAGGACACAAACTCGCGTCCTCCCTTCACCCTAGGCTCAGTATACCGCAAGCTACAGCTCGCAGTATACTGAGACGCAGCAGCTCAAGCGGATCCCGACAATTATGTCTGGATCCATCCAGCTGCGTGAGTGAAAGCTGGCTCTGCCTATCTAGAGGCAGAGCCAGCTGTACCCGCCCCCTCCGTTCCGCCGGTCAGCGCTGGCGGAGCTGGGAGGGGGGAATCCAGTCCCTCCCCTGTCATGGCAGAGAGCCGTGACAGGATCGAGAAGTGAGCGAACGCCGGTATGTGTTCGCTCACTTCCCGATCTACTGAGCCGACCTGTGACAGTCTCATTGTCACAGGTCGGCTCCAACTATGAGGATGAGTGAAAATCACTCACCTCATAGTTCTCCTTTTAAAGAAATCAATAAACATAATATACAAAACCATGATTGTACAATGAATAGGTAGCTAGGTAGGAACACCACCTACCCATTTAAATAAGTTGGCGCGTGTGCATTCAGGAAAACCAATCCCGGCAGATCCCCATAAATCCAGGGGGACAGAGGACCAAATATCCCAGTATTAAGCAATAGGAGGTGGAAGTCGAACAACCAGTCAAAGAGAAAAGGAGCCTTAAATCAACAAAGAAAGAGAGCACTGTCAGTACTCTAAGGCCTGGTTCACACCTGGGTTCCTACGCGCTGTAAAACGTTTAACATGTGAAAACCAATGATTGCCTATGGGCATGGTTCCCACCTGGGCGTTTTACAGCGCGTCGGAACGCGCTGCAAAACGCCCTATGCCCAAACAAGTTCAGGAGCTTCTTTGGGGCGTTTTGCCGCACGTTTCCATTGGTATTCCCGAGTGTGGATCGGGGTTAACAAAGCGGTAACCCCTGAGCCACACTCGGGAGTACAGGTCTTACCTTGTCCGCGATCCCCGCTGTGTCCTCCGGCGGCTGCCGACTAAAGGAAAAAAACAAACAAAAAAAATCATACCGCCAGTGAAACATGCGTTTCACTGAACAAAAAAACACGCGAAAAAAACGAGCTGAAAAAATACGCTCAGGTGTGAACCCAGCCTAAAATGGGACCTCATAGAGTTCTCTGGCTATTACATAGAGGCTAAATACCGATAAAAAATGACTCGTAGAAACAAACCCATTAACCAGCAGGGTATAATCAGGGGGAGTATTCAATAAATGTCAGTACACTAGCTTCTTTAAGGTAGAAGGCCAAGTACATTAGGCCACTCACCCACAATTGCTCCTTTCACTTTAAGGCCTTGGATTTATGGGGATCTGCCGGGATTGGTCTTCCTGAATGCACACGCGCCAACTTATTTAAATGGGTAGGTGGTGTTCCTACCTAGCTACCTATTCATTGTACAATCATGGTTTTGTATATTATGTTTATTGATTTATTTAACCCCTTCATGACTGTCCTTTTTTTCATTTTTTGCACCCATGTTATATTCCACATTTTAGGCCTGAAAATTACTTAAAACCCCCCAACATTATATATTTTCTGAATGCCAAGACCCTATAGAATAAAATGGTGGTAGTTGCAAATTTTTATGTTGCGCAATATTAGCGCAACTCCTTATCAAACCCCAATATTTAGTGAAAAATTTAATTAAATGCCCCAAAACACAAAAATACATTTTTTTTTATGAAATATAAAAGATGAGGTTACAACGAGTAAAACGATACCCAACATGCCCAGGTTACAAATTGCGTGCATCCGTAAAACGGCGAAAAAGTCCATAGAAGACGCTTTAAAAGCCCCCACAAGTCATCAATTTAGAGATACCCCAAAATACTGGCCCTAGAATTATTGCTCTCCGGCGTGCGCGGCGATACCCAATGGGGGGGGCGGCCCCTTCTTCGGGACGCAGAATCGATCTGGCGACAGGTAAGTCGCCAGGATCGCTTCTGTTGTAAAGCCGACAGTCGGCTCTACAAGTTTAAACAGCCCCGATGCTGGCGACGTACACTGTACGTCGTCAGTCACGAAGGGGTTAATCATGCCGATATCTTCCATCTCCTGAGGAAGCGCTTTTCAACGTGAAACGTTGAATATGACGCCTCCATTTCGAGGCCCTGGAGGACAGGAGGACATGTTTACTTCCTGAATCATGTTATTCCAATGTATAATTATATATATTTCATCATGTACTTTGAGTATTCAACAAGTGGAGTGAGTCTTTTAGGAGATATCCGATTAGCTGTTTTCATAAATGAATTTTAAGTGAATTGAACACAAATTTGTAATCATTATTTAAATAAAAACTTTTTTTTACCTTTTTCATTGTCTTTGGAGTTGTCAATTGGCACCTTTTTAAAACCCCATCTTTTCTCTTTTTGTGATTTATTATTTCTAGGGGTGTGATGCTCCACTCAGGTCCTGGCCATAAAATTAATTAATACATCTCATATATGTCATATATGAGATGTATTGTAATGCAGCTTGTCTCTGTCACCTCCTCACTAACACTTGGGTCCCTTTCACATGGGCTGATCAGGAAGGGTCTGTGCACAGGTTCCTTCCTGATTGGAGCGGTACAGATTGGATGTCACAGCTGTGACATATGTGTCCATCCAGTTTTTTTCCTCCATCTTACAATGGAGGAGAAAACTGAGATGACCGGACCCCATGTCAGTCTATGGGGAATCGAATGTAAACGGAAATGTGTGTCCATCAGATTACCCCCAGATCCGGCACGATCAGGTCCGTCGAAACAAAACACTGTTCTGTTTGTTTTTACGGACCTGGCCGGAATCGGGGGTAACCGGGTGTAAATGGACACCCATCTTTTTAGACGTGGCTGCCCATAGACTAGCATTGGGCATCCGATCAGGTCCACCTGAAAAACTGACAGGCGGACCCCATCAGACCCCTCCTGTGGAAGGGGCCTAAGGTATGCTGCTCATTTCTCAACCTTTTAAACACAGATGAACCCTTGAAATAATTTTCATGTCTCAGGTAGCGCCTCTGATCCATTATTACACCTACAGTTCATTAGCCTAGTCAGAAAGTTGTACATATAATTATAAATAAATAATTCTAGCATATTTGACATCCAGAGAAGATCATTTTGTCACACCTCCCTTATCTAGAAGACAAAATTATATTCAGTGATAATCATGAAATGAAACAAATAATAATAAAGTCCAGAAAAGAAACCCAGCCAGTTCTGCACCGTTATGTTGGTGTTTAGAGACAACATTACTGGAAAAAGCCTCTATACATTGGTGGTCAGTAGAAAAGAACCCCTTAATAGTTGCCGGGGGGGGAGAAGGATCCCCTTACATTAGGGGTCAGTGGGAGAAGGGCCCCCCTTATATTAGGGGTCAGTGGGAGAAGGACCCCCTTATATTAGGGGTCAGTGGGAGAAGGACCCCCTTATATTAGGGGTCAGTGGGAGAAGGACCCCCTTATATTAGGGGTCAGTGGGAGAAGGACCCCTTTATATTAGTGCTCGGGGGGATGGGGGAAAAAAGGACCCCTTTATGTTAGTGGTCTATGGAGGAAGGATTCCCTTATATAAGTGGTTGGTGGAAGAAGAATTAAATCAGAAAAGACTAGGTCATCTTGTAGTGAGTCAGTCTCAGCCATCACAGACTAGGGTTAAAATGTGAAATATGTCAAATCCGCGCTTATGGATTAGGATATATGTACACTGGGGTCAAAAAATATATACGTTTATATTTGATTGCAACAAGGAACTTTCTTATAATTTTTGCATAATAAGTTTTTTTGCACAAAGTGAAATTTTGTATTTTAATATCTCACTGGCTACCACCAGTGTATGGTAGCAGATTATGCACTAATGATTATAAGCACTTTTATTGTGTGTTAATAACACGTATTTGATAGTTTTGGTTCACTTACTGGTGACCCTGAGCGCTGCACACTCCTTTACATGCAGACTAGGGTTAGCCACCAGTCACATCAGGTTATCAGAATACTCATGAAGCATGCAAAGGAAAAGCTACAGTATTTCTTCAAAGACAATATTCTAAAATGATCATCTTCTTTATTAAAGATTACAAAATACATATCAAGAAGAGCACATGTCCTATACCCCAATTAAACCAATTAAAATTAAACCCCATATTAAAAAAACAAACACCACTACCCAACTAATAAACCATATGATCGCACTACTAAAGGGTTGGAAGCTGAGCTGACCCTACACTACCCTAGATTGTATAATGAAGGATATAATCCAGAAGATAACAATGAAGCAAATGGTATAATAGGAAATAATAATATATACACTGGTTTTGGTTACACATATGAAGCCCTGAGACTAAATATAGTCTCTTAAAGGAGAACTATGGGGTTAAGACTTTTCCCCATAGTTCTCCTTAAGGTAACAGGAGGACACAAACTAGCGTCCTCCCGTCACCCTAGGCTTAGTATACCGCGAGCTGTAGCTTGCGGTATGCTGAGACGCCGCAGCTGAAGCGGACAATTGCGCCGGGATCCGCCCAGCTGCGTGACTGACAGCTGGCTCTGCCTATCTAGAGGCAGAGCCAGCTGTACCCTCCCTCGTCCGTTCCGCCAGTCAGCGCTGGCGGATCGGGGAGGGGGGAATCCAGCCCTTCCCCTGTCATGGCAGAGAGCCGTGACAGGATCGAGAAGTGAGCGAACGCCGGTATGTGTTCGCTCACCTCCCGATCTACTGAGCCGACCTGTGACAGTCTCATTGTCACAGGTCGACTAGAACTATGAGGTGAGTGAAAAGCACTCACCTCATAGTTCTCCTTTAATGTTTTCTTATTGAGTCATACTGTTTGTGAATATGAGGACTGAGTTTTATTGGGGTATGGGATATGGGGTAGCATTATAATTCCAGTGGTGCAAAATATTGTCTTTAAGGAAGTATATTTTCCTTTTGTGTGCTTCAGATTGTTAGGACGGTTGTCGAATTACACACATTTTTTTGTCACTCACATATTCTGTCTTTATGTTTTAGCTCATCCTTTACAGCTTCAAAAAATATGACGATCTTTTGACTTTTCTTCAGCAAAATATTAATCAGGTAAACATTTTCTGTAGCTTGTTTCACAATGTGATGGACTTTTTGGAGGGACGCTGCATGCTCAGTACACATTGAAATATTTCCTTTGATTTTAGTTTTAACGTTGTGTAAGCCAAAGAAGATTAAAAAAAAAAAAAGCATATAGCTGTTTTTTAGCCTATTGTATGCTGAGTTTTGGGTCAGAAGGGGGGGGGCATTAGTATATGTCCTCCTGTGACCCTGAAGAGAACTATGGCAAAAAAAAAAGGATGGGCCATAGTTCTCTTAAAAAAAGCATACAGCATAGGAAAATGACTATAAAATGTAACGCCTTGCCTAGAAAACACCTACCTCAGTTTGTCCCAGTTGCAAGTCCATTCATCAATGGAAACTGCAAGCCACATGCTAGAAAGCAGATGCAGATAAAAGTTTACACCTCCCACTCTGGTCCTCCTGCTACAATGCACCAGCTACTTTCCTCACCGTGACTCCATCACTATGTGCAGGTTTCTAGTGTATGGTAGGACCCGACTGCTGGACAGCCAGTAGAAAGTGTCCAATCTGGAAGCCATATGGGCATCTGAACAAGGACCCTCCCACTCTGGATTCTAGAACAGTGGTTGTCTCCTTACAAGGTGTAAGGAGCCTCAGCTGTGGCCCTTGACATCACCCAAGGGCTGCAAATGATTTTCATTATATAAAATGATACAAAAGGCTGTGAGAGACTGCAAAATGACTTGAAGGTAAAGTTAGGAACTATGGACATGCTGCAGATTGGAGACATGCTGTAGGAGACAGACAGAGACCAGGTGAAGATAGTATCCTGCTGCACTCCTTACCGGATCAATAGATGTCCTGTATATACAGGCGGGTGCTCGTAGTGTCCACGGGTGGCACTGTGAACAGCATATGGATAAAGGGATATCACCAGCACACCAATCAAAGGGTTTCAGCAAAAGTCCATTTTAATGACAAATGCCATTCAAAATACAAGTGCTTTCGGGGCCTCAAGCGGTCCCCTTCATCAGGCTCAGAATGAATGAATGAGCCTGATGAAGGGGACCCCTTGAGGCCTGGAAAGCACTTGTATTTTGAATGGCATTTGTCATTAAAATTGACTTTTGCTGAATCCCTTTGATTGGTGTGCTGGTGATATCCCTGTATCTATAGACAGAGACCAGGAACATGTTACATGAGACTACTGAAGATCATTTCCATTTACTGCCAATTTAGAAAACTCAACACTACCACTGCTGAGGTCCAAGGGTCAGATAGCAAGCACCAAAGGGCTGTAGGTTGGGCACCAGGGGCCTAGAAGACATGGGACATGGCACATCACTTGACCATGGATTTAGGTGAGTAAAAGGGGTATAAAGTAATCTGACATGGTGTTAAGTTTGGGGAGGGAGGACCTGATCCCTGGAGATCAGCTTTAAGGCAAATGGGGTGCAATAATAACTCAAAATATATGTGCGTGTTCACCATATACTTTGCTTTCTAAATTCTAGTTTGAACGCGGGCCGTTTGGTTGCATTCTGCTTACATTGTCTTCTGTCTTATCGAGATCGATCGATCTGTAAGTATATGTCGTTTCTCAACACCAATGTACACTACAGATTTAGCAGTAAGTCTGCTGTACTGTGTGAAGCATTTTTCTATGGACATGTTAACAGAGTATTGTTCTGTGTTGGTCATCAGTAGACGCAGGGAAATACATAGCTGGCTTCATACCATCTGTTGGCGAGAGACGGACTGTAACCTCTCAATGACTTATTGAGGACTGAGCAAAGTCACTTACAGCCCCAGTGGCCTTGCTTCCTGCCCTTGCACTTTCTTTTTTATAATGATAGAAATTTTTTTGAGTATAGATATAAAATAAGAATCACAATGAGATACAGCTAGGCGATAGATTGTACAATAATCAAAATGGCATCCATAACCCAAATAACACTCAATATAGGATACATATTTTTCACTTGGCAAAAAACAAAGCAAAATCTTCGGTATAGTAATAGATTAAAGGAGAACTATGGGGTCAGGGCTTTTCCCCATAGTTCTCCTACGGGTAACGGGAGGACACAAACGATCATCCTCCCGTCACCCTAAGCTCAGTAGCTCGTGGTATACTGACACGCCGCAGCCGGGACACATACCGACATTACTGTCAAGATCCACCCAGCTGCGGGATTGAAAGCTGGCTCTGCCTATCTAGAAGCAGAGCCAGCTCTACCCGCCCCCTCCCCCGTCCGTTCCGCCAGTCAGCACTGGAGGATCGGACAGGGCAGGGGGGCAATCTCTGCAGGGAGCCGTGAGTGACAGTCACAGCTCTCTGCACGGATAGATCAGGAAGTGAGCGAGCGACGGTATGTGTTCGCTCACTTCCCGATCTATTGAGCCGACCTGTGACTGTTTAATTGTCACAGGTCGGCTCGAACTATGAGGCTAAGTGATTTTCACTCGCCTCATAGTTCTCCTCCTTTAATTTCAACTCTTTACCCCAACCTGTCCCTCTTTCTCCCACCTTGACTGCCTTTAGGCGTACCCTAAAGACTCATCTCTTCAGGGAAGCCTATCCCACCTCAACCTAACCGCTCAACCATCACGTTCTTAGACAATTCATCCCCACACAGCTACCTCCTCATGTATCACTTTCCCCTGCCTTTTAGATTGTAACCCCTCAGGGGCAGGGCCCTCCTCACCATCTTGTCTTGAATTGTATTGTGATTGTAATGTCTTCCTTATATTGTAAAGCGCTGCGCAAACTGTGGACGCTATATAAATCCTGTATAATAATAACTTATTGTCACTGCAGATCCTCTTATTTGTAACAGAATTGTGTCACATATTTACTCCTACTTTCACCACAGGGTCCAGCAAGACTTTGACGTTCCTACCAACTGCCTAATTGGTGCCCATGCTTACTGTACACAAGTAAGTCATTAGAAGGTGTCTCTGCCATTAAATCCCAACAAAAGCTTGTTTTCATTTCCAAAATAAGAGACTGCAGACACGGTGTAGTTCTCACTGTCCTATATTGATCGGCTGATACAAGTAGGTCCATTTGCTGACCTGAACTTTGATGCTACATACACACAGTAAAGCAGGGGTCCGAAACTTTTTAAACAATGGGCCATTTCACTGTTCATCACATTTTTTGGGGGCCAGACTGTGATCAGTAGGAGTAAAAAAAATGCTCTGGCATCAAAGAACAGTGGGATTACACTTCCTCCTATGTTGGTGGTCATTGCTAAGTACAGAGTGTCCTGGTGTCTATGCTATGCCCCTGCATCAGAGCCTTCAGTGGACACAGAGAAAAGGATTTTAAGGTATTTTTGCTTCCCAGACTCGCATTATGGGCCTTGTTAGTGATCTCTCTCTGTTCAGTTCTATAAATAAATGGTTTGTCTGATTTATCATCAATTACAGGAACTTGTTAATCTCATCCTGGGAGGCAAAGCCGTGTCTAATGTCTTCAATGATGTCATGGAGCTGGACTCTGGGAACGGCAACACCACTGTCCTAAAAGGGGTCTCCAGCCGCAGTGAAATTGGCTTTCTCTCCCTCTTCGAACATTACAGCGTGTGCCAGGTATGTACTCCATTCTCCCAGAATCAGGGGGCCGGATTTCCCACAAGGCCAACCAAGGCCCGGCCTCGGGGCAGCAAGGAGTAGAGGGGCAGCAGAGGTGTGGATATCCTATCTCCTGATGCCCGGGACATGCAGTTCCGAGCGCCGGGTGGGTAGTTGTTTTCTACATTTAGCCCTGCTTTGGGCAAGCAGAGCTAAATGTACATCGGGGGAGCCGCAGCTTGTTTTATACAAGTGATCCCGCCTATGTCACCGAGATCATTTGTATGCAGCCTGCAGGTCTGCCATTCTCCATGGGGGGGTTTGGTGGGTACGGGGGGCGCATTGAGGAACCTGTCCTTGGGGCAGCAGAGAGGGTAAATCCGGCCCTGCCCAGAATGCAACTTCTTGGGCAGAAGAAAGACACTGGTCCCCACTTAAGGGAGAGTCAGCAGTGCAAGTTATAATAGGTTTTGTCTTTTTTTTTTCTTTAATATTTTTTAGAAAGTTATTAATTGCATATTAATATTTATGTTTCCATCAAACAGGTGGTGCTCTGGGCTACTTTTCACTTGTTTTCCTGGTTATCCCTAATTGCATTACTGAAAGCCATCAGAGCTTGGAGACTGAAGCTCAAATTTACAAATTAATCAGTTTTTCTACCCTGGACTACAGAAGACATCCCCTCTTCTCATTCGGATAATAAAGAAATGGGGAGGCGTTCTGTAGTCCACAAAGGAGAAATTGGTAGGGCTGACAACCCTGTTTGGAAAATATAGTGCAGCAGAGACACAGCTCAAACTGGAGCACACTGGATTGCAGGCAAATTGAGAGGTACTTTTCTGTACCCTCAGCATTTAGAAATACTGAAGTTTAATCTACAGATGCAAGCAGTGGGCCGGCTCATGGGAGGAGTTATGCAAATATCACAAAGGCTTCCTAGGGGGACATCAATCTAGAGGATAGGGTGTCCCCAGACAGGCTGCATTTGCATGCAGACCGCCCTAGGTAACGCCCACATGTGGTGCTGAGCCTCCTGATGCTGAGTAAAAGAACTGAAATCCAATGAATGAAAGGGGCGGGCCAAGGACAGTCCGACTGGGGAGGAAGCCTGTGCAACTGTACAGTACAGGAAATGAGCCTGTACAATTGTTCAAGACTAAAGGGAAGGTCAGAGTTCAACTTTAAAGGGATAAAACGTGGTGCAATGTGCACGTATTACAGAAATGTACTGAATGTGGCTTTTATTTTTTCCTTCAGGTTGGTTCCTATCTCAAGACCCCGAAGTATCCGATCTGGGTGGTCTGCAGTGAGAGTCACTTTAGCGTCCTCTTTTGCTTGAAGAAAGATTTAGTGAGCGACTGGAGAGCAGAACGAAGGTTTGATCTGTATTACTATGATGGGCTGGCAAACCAGCAAGAGGAGATCCGCCTCACCATCGGTGAGTTTGACAATCGGTGATATTACATTAGAGCATTTCTCTCCTGACACCTGTGCCCCCGAACACTGCTCCAATCCAGAAACATCACCGGCTGATGTATTGCTGAGAAAAATAAGAGAGACACTCCCGAGTGTTGATCTCCCGCTCCCACGCGGCTCTCAAGAAGTACCTCCAGCTTCCAGAAAAATAAAACTTCATCCTGATGAACTCTATACATTTCAAAGATTTTAGCAATTTTCTTTGCAGATTCTAGGGATGCACCGATACTGGTTTTTCGGTTACGAGTACGGATATTTATCTTTCGGTACTCGCCGATACTGAGGACAAATAGCGGTACTTCTGCAAGCATGATGCCGGCTTCCTAGCCAATCAGGAAGCCTGGCGGTGAGTCATTACCCGGGTAATGACTCGCCTCTCGGCTTCCTGTTTGGCCAGAAAGCCAGCTCCATGCTGTTTGGCCGGCTCATTGCTGATTTGGTTGGGAAGCCGGCTTCCCGGGCAATCAGCATCGAGCAGGCCCAACATGATTGTCCAATTGGGACAATCGTGTCTTATTTTAATGCAGCCTCGCCAAGTAGAATACACGCAACAGGACTGTCATATGCATACATTTATAATCTTTGCATGGCTGCCTAAGTATAAATGCCCAGTGTTAGAAGATGGGATGTTTCTTAGGGGCATGACAGTCACTGATGTCTGCTTACGGGAGGCAGGTCATTACCCGCTGCCTGGCTTATTGATTTACTGAGAAGCTGGCTCCATGCTGATTGGCTAGGGAGCCGGTTTCCCGGCTAATCAGCATCGAGCCGACCAAACAGTATGGAGCTGGCTTCCAGGCCAATCAGCAAGCCGGGTAGCAAGTCATTACCCGACGTCCTTATTGGCCCGGAAGCCAGCCCCATGTTTCCTCGCAGCACTGCCGGTCAGTGGAAATCTCCCTCTGACCGCAAGTTCCGGTATCAGGGGTAAGTACCATAGTATTTGGACAAGTACTCGGTATCGGTACTGGTATTGGTGCATCCCTAGCAGATTTTTACCCTCTGGTCTGAAGAAATTGCTGTTTGGGTCACCATGTCCCCTCTGATACTCATTAGCACCCAAGGCAAAAAGCCCCAAGTGCTCGCACGCCCTCCTCCATGAGCAATGAACTACTTCAGCGGCATAGGTTGCAGGCCCGGCCTTTTTTTGTGCTGAAGTGGCCAAGGAGGCTTCCTCTTCTGCATACCCCTTAGCCCAGCCCTGTTGCATCTCCTTCCTGATGGTGACAACGGTAGAACATGCCGGTGCCATATGTATCTGTATAAGCAGTTTTATGACTTATGGACAAGCCAATGTGCCCTCATCTCATCGCTGCTTCTTCTTTTCAGACACCTCAGGGAATTGTATAGAAAATGAAGACAATGATTTGGTTCCCCCGCTGGAGTTTTGTATCAGAACCAAGTGAGTAGAGCTGATACATTAAAGTTCATTGTGTTCTCATGTATCGTATGTACAGAACCTTTACACTGGACCCTACCGTGTATGTGAACCCAAAATCTACTTTTCAGTATTTAGGTCATCTTGGCTCACTTTGTACAGTTCTTAATAAAGCCGGACTCCGGCTTTCCCTTAAGTCGTGCAAATTGGTCAGGCTCCTCTTCTGTACTTATTGATTTCACTGTATAGGGTCAGCTATTCACAATGGGCAGCAGAAGATGCAGCAGGTCAGATAGAGTCCACCTCATTTTTTGGCTGGAGAACAGCCAGCATCTTCTAGCTCCTCCCTCCTTAGCCAGACCGTCCCTAGCTCCCCCTTTCTTTCATTGGATTTCAGTTGTTTCAATCATTGAAGGCCAATGTGGTAATCAGCCGATTACCTGAACCTGGGAGATGGTGTCCAAGCTGGAAAAAAAGATCAAAGATCCGGACCTATAAGTGGCATGTTCAGGAATATGAATGGTAAAGTATATCACCGGCACACCAAATAAAATCTTCAACGAGTGGACATTTTATTGATGTACACACATCTCGTCATAAAGCAAAGTTTCGGGGCCACTCAGGGTCCCTTCATCAGGCATTAAAAAGTGATATGCCAGTAAGGAGTGCGGTGGAAACCTCTTTGGAACGTCTTTAGTGGCTTTGCCCGCCTGGCACCCCTGGTGAGATTCCCTCCCTGTAAAGGGTTTACTCAATACCAATTTGAACAGGTCATGCCTGATGAAGGGACCCTGAGTGGCCCCTCTTAAGTCGTGCAAATTGGTCAGGCTCCTCTTCTGTACTTATTGATTTCACTGTATAGGGTCAGCTATTCACAATGGGCAGCAGAAGATGCAGCAGGTCAGATAGAGTCCACCTCATTTTTTGGCTGGAGAACAGCCAGCATCTTCTAGCTCCTCCCTCCTTAGCCAGACCGTCCCTAGCTCCCCCTTTCTTTCATTGGATTTCAGTTGTTTCAATCATTGAAGGCCAATGTGGTAATCAGCCGATTACCTGAACCTGGGAGATGGTGTCCAAGCTGGAAAAAAAGATCAAAGATCCGGACCTATAAGTGGCATGTTCAGGAATATGAATGGTAAAGTATATCACCGGCACACCAAATAAAATCTTCAACGAGTGGACATTTTATTGATGTACACACATCTCGTCATAAAGCAAAGTTTCGGGGCCACTCAGGGTCCCTTCATCAGGCATTAAAAAGTGATATGCCAGTAAGGAGTGCGGTGGAAACCTCTTTGGAACGTCTTTAGTGGCTTTGCCCGCCTGGCACCCCTGGTGAGATTCCCTCCCTGTAAAGGGTTTACTCAATACCAATTTGAACAGGTCATGCCTGATGAAGGGACCCTGAGTGGCCCCGAAACTTTGCTTTATGACGAGATGTGTGTACATCAATAAAATGACCACTCGTTGAAGATTTTACTTTAGTGTGCTGGTGATTATACCTTACTATTTGGATTTGAAGTGCCGCCATCAACTATCACTGCAGCACCCACTTTAAAAAGGGACATAGCAGTAAGGAGTGCGGTGGAAACCTCTCTGAAACATGTTCAGGAATATGTTCCCCTGATATACCCCCGTCCCATGGTATTAGAACAGGGGCTGTCTATCCTGTGGTAAGTGGTCCCGCAGATAAAATATAGCGGGTGACCGCAGAGAGGCAAAGGCGCCCCCTCATATAACCCCAGAGGACACAAATACAAGGTGACCCCCTAATTGGAGGAATCAACACATTTAAGAGTTTAGACTCCATGACGATTCAGCGTGGTGATATATGACTTTTTCCTCCCTTTTGGGGGACGCGGGAGGTGGCAGCTGATCTATGTTAGAGGTGAGTTTTTAATTCTTATGGATCACAAGCAATTGAAACAGACAATTTTGTAAAATCTTTTAATGTTTTTTTTTTTAAATTAGGTTTAAATAATTTTATTCCAATGAAATGTGTGATTTTGTGCCTTTAAAAACCCCTTTTTTTCTATTTTTGTACATTAAGTACGACTTTGGGGTTTGGCAACATTGGACAGAGATATCACCAATGCACTGTAATAAGTTACGTACAGCACTCTGTTGGCCCCTCCCACCAACCGTGACGTGTCACAGGGACCCAGGGGTACAAAAAAAAATGACACGTCATGAAAAAGAAAAAGTTTTATTCAAAAATCTAATTAGCATGTTGATGAGGGGGGACCAGGGAAAGCAAAACATGACCACATTCAACTTTTAACATTATCTTCTCCCTGTTATATTTTTCAGATGGAAAGGTGCCGTTGTAGACTGGAATGGGACTGATCCCATTCTATAATACCAGGGGCCACGTTGTATGAACGTCCTGCGTACACCGGCTTCTGAAAGACCTTCACCTCGTGTGATTCCCTATAAACTGAGGTAAATGCGCTCCTCTCCGCCGGGCCTGTAACTGCCTGGAAATGCAAAATGCCACCTTAAAGGACGACTACACTGATGTTATTTTAAAGTCTCGGACCCATGGCACTCTGTATGTAACGACCGGCGTCCATCCCAGATAATGTATTGACATGCCCTCCTGCAAAGCAAGGTCCTCTATTGGCTCACGGTGTCCCTGAATCTGCTCAAAGGTCTGCCGCTGTCAACACCTAAGCGGCCGGTGCTCACCTTTCCCGGGATCCGCTTCCCGCAGAACAGTCAATCTACCATAATAGGACGTCGCACACCGCTCTTCAACAACTTTATTGTTCTATAACTGTTGAAGACACTTCACACAGCTCCTTTTCCGATGCCCTTCACCCCCCGCTGAGCCTCTATATTTAAAGAAAAGCTTCGGGCATTTTAAAACCGTACCCTTGTAGCGAAGCTACCCCCACACTGCAAGGGTTAATTGCTCGTGTTGTCTGGGGTCTAATAGAAGTGTTTACGATGGTCTAATTTTATGTGCTGTGGTGACCGTTTTGCTTCTATCATTCGGTTGACTCTGTAAATAATGTCATTTAAAATGGATTTTATGTTTATGACTGTTTTTTGCATGTGACGGAAAATATAACTAAAACTCAACAAGCATCCAGTGTTCCCTCTCTTCTTCATCCGGCGGATTAGTAATTAATGTACTTGCCATGCAGTCCCACCCGAGCTACCTGCATGGTGTTTGTATATTTCTGTAGGTTTCCTCCCCCAAAGGTCTGCCGCTGTAATCAACCTTACATATTGATTACATTAAAACATGCCGATTGGCTGGCTGTCTACAGCATGAGAGACTCTGTAAGTCTCTTCTGCCATAAAAGCTTCTTTCTACCATTCAGCAACTTATTTGTTTTTGTTTCTGCACGCTGAGCAGCGCATGCGCAGCTGAGTGCACAGACCCGCCATGCCCGATGCAAAGTAAGTCCCATGCATATATGAGAAACTCAAGCTGAAGACTCAAACCTGGAAGAAGACTGCGGTGATATCAAGGGGGGATGATGTCAAGGTAAGTGCTGGCATTACGCCAGTTGTATTTAAAAATATATTTGTGGTAATAATTTGCTAATTTATTCATAACTGCATTTTGTTTATTTATATGTGCGCATGCGCAGCTCAGGGCACAGACCCACCATGCCGATATGAAGTAACTCCAATGGGCAGGAGTTACATCATTGGGGCCTAGCCAATCAAGCAGCCGAAGACTCAAACCTGGAAGAAGACTGGGATGAAGATGGAAGCGCCGGGGCCGGTACTTCAAAACTGTCCAGGAGCTCAGATTTAAAATTGTGACCCATCTCTTCCTGGGCAAACGTGTATTTTAACAAGTAGAACTACAATTCCCACCATGCGGTTGTAGTTCTCAATAGGCACATAGGTGGGTGTGTTGAACCTAACCTAGTAAGTCGTTGCTTTCCAGCATGTGGGGATGGAGGTGACAGACCGGGAGTCTTCTAGCCCCTCAGTTAAAGTAAGAGATCATGGTGGCAGGACAAACCAGGAGTTTCCTGGCCTGTCAATCAAAACAAAACCATGTGAGTGGGCGGGTCAGACCGAGAGTCTGAAATTCCTGGGC